GGACACTTTTTAAATCGCCTTCGGCTCTCTGAACAGTTTGCTTGTGCGGGGTAAGAAAATGCAGGTGACATTTTTATATTTTATACGCCGTGATTAAAATCGGGGGGGGGGGGGGGGGAAGTAGTTGATAATTATAAATTACAGTTCTGATATTTGATCGTTTTGTGTGGTGAAGGACGATCCGAAAAGAAACTCTTTTTTTTTTTCCTTTCATTTATTGAAGACCGCAATTGGTTGCCACACAGAAACTGACAACGTGAAGTCACGACCTTGACCACTTTGTATCCTGGTGAGTTCAGGGGCGATGCATTCTTATGCAAAATGGTTTTGTGGTCTTCGATCAGGAACACAACCAGCGGATCTCCTATTCGCATTCCCGACTTGTTCATTTCGAAAGTCAGATCACGTTTCGTGGTCTTTTTTGTGATCAGGAAGACACATGGAAGGTTCGTGTGTTCCAGATCACGTGACGAGCAGTTTCCCATCAGTGGGAGTGACGAAAATCAAGCAAGTGCTGGCCTACAAATGCAAGGAGAGTGCCTCGTCCTTCAGATTCCAGACCGTCCGATCGTACAGGTCAGTATTATATCAGCTCTAGAAAGTTCTTCCAGCTCTAAGGCACAGAGTCCCTGAAAAGTCTGGTGATGGTTCCTCAGATTACCAATTTCTGTTTCGCCTGTGCATTATGCATGCTGCTTCATGAAGCTCTTTCATTCCAAAGCGAACGCTATTTTCTATAAAGTTAAAAGGTTTATTCGAAAATTCATCCCTGGAGACCTGGATCCAAAATCACGTGTGCACTCAACAGTGCCGACTGTTGTGTTGCAGCCCTCGCAGGGGAACATGACGAGGCAGAAGCGGGCGGAGGTTCTGAGCCCCTGGAGCGTCGGCTCTACGGCAAACTCGTTTATCAGCGCTTGAGACTCGCACGAGGCGACGTCTGTGGCAGGCACGTGGTCACCACCTACGCCTCCGCCTCCGCAACAGCATCGCCCGCCGAAGACTGCAATGATCGTGCCGCTGCTGTTTTAGTATGGCACTTCTCGCAAGTGCCATACTAAAGTTCTAATTGTACCTAATCAGGCGCTCAGGTCTTCACGGAGATCCGTATTTGTTGTCAAGTCTTCGGGAAATACCTGGCGAAAATGGTAAACGTTAACGACGTTCTGCGGAAGATTTAAATAGAATTGCAACAACATTAACAGATTTGTGGCGCTATGTTCATGTCACTTCTACCCTGCGGGATGTAACAGGTTTCCTCCGAAACGTCGGTACCATTTACACGCGGTTCAATTTCCAGAAGACTCCAAAGTGATTACGCATATCATTAGGCGCATCATGTGTGTCACATCAGGGTCGATTCTTGTGCTATTTAACAACGCCTTATCGACTACATGTATTAATTTAGAACTAGTAAATATGAACATGAAGCATGATTCTTGCTGAGAGAAGTTCCGAGTCACTAACAGTCGGTCACCATTTTCCGATTCTTTCCCTTGAACCCTTAAAAGCATGGTGGTTACTATATTGACCACCTACGCAAACATTCAGTGAATCTACATTTTGCCCACACAGTACACACGTATCCTTTTGTTTAACTTCATAAGACGTCTTTGTGGTGTGTGGCACAAAATGTGGTCGCGACGCATTTGTCGTGTGTGTTGGTACACAGCGTAACCAAATGCCTTCAGTGAGAAAGCGCAAGATTGGAAGGGCGTGTTCTTTGGCGTGCGCTGCGGTTGCAAGTGTGTCCGTTGTTCACGTCACATCATTGAAGACCGGAATACGTCATTCCTACTCGAAAAGGATTGACAGTGGTCTCCGAGGTCCTGGGGAAATGTGGTACATATACAGACAGACATGGACGGGCCCATATGGCGTTCTTCGCTTACGCTAGAGCGAAAGGAACACCCCGATAAAATGATTTTAAATACAAGTGTTATTCACAGCATTTCTTAAAATGCGTGTCTGGCTACAATGGGAGATGTCAGGGCCTAGAAGTCGCGATTAGAACTGACCATACCACGTGTTGCAGTTGTACCCGATCTTCAGGCGTTTTTTTTTAAATCTTACGTCATTTGAACAGTGCACAAGGCCTTTGAGTGGAGAATTTTCCGACACGTTCACAACCAAGCTTGCAGAAGTCCAGACTTTATCTAAAAACGCTGCATATTGAAGGTAAATGTGGTGCGTTGAATATAAACAAGCCCCCGTTTTGGTTGTAAGGTTCCGTTTACCATTTACAGCAATGCGTGGGCAGGAATGGTGTTCTACCTAGCAAGGGACGATGTCTCGCGCTTGCGCAGGACTCCGTCCTTAATTACCTTTATTTATATCACGCAGCGATGCAATTAAAAATGCGAGGGAATTATTAATGCACGAGAAGCTACAGGAATTTGGTGTTGTGTTGAAATCGGAGAGGACCTGAATGAAATTGCGACAAGAGTTCTTAAGGTAGGAGAAAGTTTGGTCTACCACACTGCATACTCATTAATTTTCCCATTCCTAACCTAACCTAACCTATCATCAATGCTAAATAACAGGCAATTAGTCTGGTTCATATTGCGTTATTAAGTGTCGCAGTGGTAGCAACAGAATGAAATAGTTAATTCTAATTCTAATTCTCATATTTTTTAATTGTTATTTTTATAATATAAATGCTGCTAAAATTACTGACTTACTGTCCTGTTACATTAATGGGCTATTCAATGCCAAACCAAACAATGACGTTGGCTGTGTCCTCACCAGTTCTTATGATTTTTATTTTACAAGTAGATATCCACGAAGTAAAAGTTTTCACAAACTTTGTTTTCTTATAACCATATCCCTAGATATTAATTAATGTAATTAGGCAATTTTTATATTACACCAATAATTTTGTTTACAAATATCCCTGTTACATACAAACGTGGAAATAAGAAATCTGGTGACCAGCAGAGGTTTCTGTTGGTGTGGAGTTTTGTAAAACATCTGGCATGGTTTTGGTGTAATTCTAATATTAAAGAAGCTATGTGGGACTGCATTTAAGACGGAGAAATTTGTACTTAACACAAACGAAGGACTGTATTATTGGATATAAATTTAAACTTGGTAAACTTTCACTGGACCGATAAAAAATAAATTTTTAATATGTAGGCAAGAAAGAATATCTGATTCTTTTTTCAGTGTACCGAAGGAAGCTCTTGGGAACTATGTTTCTAGCAGCACACTGAAATCTATTCTGTCATTCACTATTGTATGAAAGTAAGGGTTGCGCTACTTATCTTCTCTTTGTTACCATGAAAATGTCATAAATTGTAGAAGATTATCATATTCTCATTGTTATGTGCAAATGTACCAGTAACTCTCACATGCAGCAGCAAAATCCTTTTCTGGACATAACTGGCTCGTCTCTGCTCAACTTCACTTGGACCTGCGACTCATTGTTTGGTACCGTGCGTTCTCTTTCTTTTGACAACAAATGGGTTGTATCTTAAGCTTTGAAATGCTGATGGAAACAAAATTATGGTGGCTTTATGTACCAAAGACAGTTTTGGCATGTTGTAGCCTAACATTCTTTTACCATAACCAGTTCAATTTCCTTGTTTGTAGTTTCACAGGAGAGCACAGAGACAGAGCAATTCAGAACCTCCATTTCTCTTTACCTAAAGCATTTCTGACATGACACTTCATCATGGACATGTTCTTCAATATTGTGTTCATTTTAATACTCTTAAAACTTTGCGTACCGTGTAGTGTATTAGAATGTAAAATAAGCAAACAAACAAACTATGAAACACTATAAAAAAAGACACTAGTGCCATGCGCGTTTCAACCTCAAGAGGTCATCGTCAGTGGCAAGAGGGAAATTAATTAATTTAATCAAATGGTTTAAACTGGATTTAGAAAACAAATAATGAATAGGGTATTTAACAAAAGTATTTCAAGCGACACTGCACTAGATGTTGTTATTCACAGGAGTTGAACTCTGCACTTAGCTATTGATCCGATCGGATCAATAGCTAAGTGCAGAGTTCAACTTCATTATTTGTTTTCTAAATAATTTTGGTTAAATTAATTAATTTCCCTCTTGCCACTGATGATGACCTCTTGAGGTTGAAACGCTCATGGCACTAGTGTCTTTTTTATAGTGTTTAATAGTTTGTTTGTCTGCCTATTTTATATTCATTTTAATACTGTCCATAACCTCACTTCTTTCTACATGATCATTTCTGATGTGGCATGATTGAACTAAAGTGACCAACACAGATTGTGGTGGCCAAGTTTTGAACATTTCTGTGCATCTGCTGTCACATGTCCTTGTGAGCCAGTCGCATCAGAGTGTTTGTGTATAAAGTATTCAGTTATGTTTCGAAGGTCCTTGCTACCTTTAACATCGCTGCAGGTGAAGGACCTCTGAAACATTGATAAACTTTTACCAGAGTACACAGCACTAGAACCCAGAAGACAGCCATCTTTGTTTGTGTTGGACTCTTTAAAGTCTCTGCTTGTACATCAGCGGATATCTTTCTAAATCCTTATGGTTTTTGAATTGATTACAGCAAGTTTTTTAAGGTACTTCGACAACAGTAATTATTTTTGGTGAAGTCAGATATTTTACTTGCCTCTCCCTCTGCTTTGGTCCACATCTCATCAACATCAGTTCCTTGTTTTTGTTTTGTTAACCCACAAACTTCTTCCAAACCAATGTCAACATTGGTGCGACTATCCTCATGGGAAAATCACGCTAAACAAGTTTGGGGATAATATATTTAAAATAAGTTATTATCAATTTGTAAACCAAGGAATTTAGTTGTTAATTCTGTCTCAGTTGTTTTATTCTCATAAGCTGTATTAAAATTTAAACTTATTTTGTTGCTAGCATCAAATTTCATTAAGTTTTGTCATGTCAAAATTTTTGGTTAGTGAGTTTATTGGCTTTAAACCAGTTGTTCGGGTCAGCAAAGACGTCATTCAGCTCGGTTCATCATTAATGGAATTCTGAAAATTATTGCTATCAGGAATATAAATAATAATAATAGTATTATCTGTGAAGCGTAAAGGCTTGAACTGAGATTGGTTTGGTGCGGAATGGTCCAGATGTCAAATGACTGTCTTTGTTGCATTAAATGGGCTGGCAACATGACCATGCGTCAAAAGTGCTCGTTATTGAAGGGCGATTGGAATATATGGAACAGTTCCCACTATCTGGATGCTGTGTTAATGTGATGGATAATCTGAAGTATGACTTATTGGCTTCATCGTGTTATTCCTTTGTCACAGAAATATGTGTTGAAAGATTTTACTTTCATTTGGGCAAAATGATGTTTATTCATCCATGTTTAAAGCGAGTCCTTTGAAAAATCTAAACGAGCTTTATATGATATTCAGCAGATGCCCTCATGTCACTATATCCTTCATATCACCTGGAGATAAAAGTTTTGGTGATGGTGAAGTTGTTTTAGACGTGGCATTTTTATTTTTCATCGTGTCCTCATTGTAATGAGCGACTAGATTTTAGGTTAGTAAATTGAATTATCTTTGCCACCCAAGTGTTCATGCCCATAATTTGTTAAAATGAGAAGTGAATGGTCTTATTTGAAGATGATTATTTATCTGAGGTCTGAAAAAGTCAACGCTTTATGATGCATTTATGTGTGTCTCATTTATGATACCTGCAGCTACCACACATCATTATTCTGAATGCACTGTTACTTTGTGCTCGTCTGACTGAGATGTTCATTGTGTTGCTGAATCATGATTCATGTTTCCTTTTTTACCCAATAATCATCCTGTAATTTGGTGCTGTAAGAGCTATGCGGTAAATAAAACTTCGCTAAAGATTATGATAGCCTGATGATTTCTCATTTGTCATGCGCAGACATCTTAGGATTTGGTTTTGTGTATGAAATTAAGATACGCGATTTTGGGGTAATAAATTTCAACATAATCTCTAAACGAGTTCTTGACTTGAAATATATGGACGGACTTAATCAGTTCTCGTATACATTCAATAAAGAACAATTAGGTTATGAGGTTCATTATTTTTAAAATCGAATGTGTACTGACTTGCATCAAGGTAGCATATATTTTTCATGTGGCCTAGTTTGTGTTTTCTCCTAGTTATAAGAATAAAAAAATTGCATAAATCTCTCCTGGGTTCAATACAAATTATCTTTCCAAGTTCTATAACTTGGAGGCCTGTATGTTTTCCTTTTGTCTCCTAGTGACATCTGTTGATACTTTCTTAGAGTACAAGTGACAGCGTTTCTTTCACGTTGGGTCGAGTTCGTGTATTAGCAAGGAATGAAGCGAGATAACTTTGTTATGAATAAATGGTAGGAAATCTGACGTAGTAGTATTGTAGAGGAGTGTTTCAGTATATAGTACAATTATTGATTTACCTTTCTTGCTACCTGCAGCACGTGGTTCAGCGTTTCAAAAAGTTATTCCCAGAGTTTCTCGTCTTTTGATGTTGTTTGCTTTGAGGTTAGAACACCACACGTAAGCAGATCCAGTGCCGACGTACCACAAAGCAGCTGAGTCACCCAAAGGGCTTGCCGCCTTATTTCAGCTCCACAAGTGTTAAGTCTGTGGACCCGACGATTGCAACGTGTGACCTTTTGGCATTCACCTTCTCCTCTTGTCTCAAGCCACTCTAGCTGTGGTCATTGAATCACAAGCAGTTGTTGGCATTCAGTAACTAGCTGCACGTTGTACAGTCTCTGGCGTCCTTACACACTTGGTTGGATATTTCTTAGACAATGGAAAATATACAAGAATTTTTTTTATTCAAATGACTCACCATCGTCACGAACTTTTAGATTTGATAAGAAATTACTTGTTTTTTTATGTGAAGTCCGAGGGTTCATTGCCGAGTTTACAAATCCACATATTCGCATTTGTTTTAACGTAATCTGCGCCTAGGCCTCTGAATCCCTCGTGGTTCAAAAATGTCGCATTGCATGTGTCATCTCGCTGTTCATCTGGACACCAACAAAATTACGGGAATCTCCTCATCACGAAATTGTTCCCAGCCTCTCTTACTATCTTCTTTCGTCGTAAGTATTCTCCTCAGCATTTCCTGTTTTCCTTTTAGTCTTAAACCAAGTTTCGCACCCATACAAAACAGGTTATAACTCCACGAGACTGAACTGTGGTTTCATCGCAGAATGCCGTTGTTTTTAGACGGGCACACGGGAGATTGTCCTTCTGTGTTTTGTCCTGTAAATATGTGACCCGAAGTTGGGGATTTAATAGCTCGTAGGTCTGGACATCTCTAAAGCGATACGAGTTAATTTAATTGAACTCATTCAATTCAGATAAGAGCAAACCGGGACTCTTCAGCAATTCCGCCATCGTTCTGTTTTATTTCGCGTTCCTCTAATTACGTCCCTGAGGCTCCTTCGGGCTGTTATGAGTCGCTCACTGACAGCTTCGGTCTGATTGGCCTCCAGCAACTAAAACTGCGTTTGAGCACCAAGCGAAAAAGTTTGAGCATGAAACGCGATCCGATTGGTGCAAGTTCTGAAGAGATGAGAGAACATTGCAGTCGCTCAGTGTGCCAGAGTACAGGCTGCCGTATGGCGATTTCCTTTTGGGTCCAGTCTTGTTACACTTCCGGTGAGGCTTTGTCGGTGTTGAAAGGACGTGTTATTATCGTCCCTCGACATTCAGGTGTTTCGAGCATGGACGGAAAAACTGCGAAGGCCGAGTCCACTTTGCAGATCAAAACATATATTTCCTCGAATGGAACTCAAATTTTGCTCCAGAACAAGAAATTACTCGCGTCTCAATAAAAGAACACTTCGACAGATGTTAACTGTTCAGTATTTGGCAAAAACGATGTTTAACTTCTCATCTCGATCTAACCTTTCCAAATTTGGACTGCGGATTGTATGGTGGGACGCAGTACCACAAAAGACGCCTTTTTTATTTTCATGTCGAATGAACTGTCGTATTTGTCCCTTTAAATATCCACCAAACAAAATAAATTTTCAAGCAAAAATCCTTTAAGCATTAGTGATCTGTTTGCAGAAAAATTAACCAGGGCCCCTTCGATGTACGCCAGCTGATTTCGCACCGACTCGGAGGTGGCACAGCTGGTCACTGGACGGGCGTACTGACGGAAGTCTGGGTAAAACTCGATATATAAGCCCTGTGCCCCTGGGGGCTGAACACCATACGAAAAGGTGAAAGTATAAACCCAACCCTCGATTTACATATTTTCGCTACGGGGGGGTAATGTAAATTTATACCAAGTTTTCAACCCACGTTCGTTACTTTCGCTACACCGAAGAACCAGCCTTCGTCCGACGGCGTCGTAAAATCGGACGCGGATGCAAAGGCTGAGTCAGTTCCACCATTCAGCCTCCCGGATGGTTAGCGCGTGTTCCCGTGTTCATCGATTGATTCATTATGCTTATTATAGTACAGCCATTTTAAGGTTTCAGTAACAACAGCTGTTTATTCTTTGTTTACGTAAATTCTCATGTTTACGCTGGCAGTGTTTTGACGTAACATTTCAGTAGCGCTTTTCAGGGCTAAACAGACAATAACTATCAAAAAATAATATTGTTTAATTTTTAACATCAATATTAATATAGTTTGTGTATAGACTTGAAGAATAAATATATGTATGAATTGAAAACACAAACATGACGCATCTAAACTATAAATATTGTTTCTATTTTTATGACTAATGCGTTTGTCGTGGGAAAATATATCTAGTGGTTTTTTCTGGGAGTCGGGAACCAGTCAAAATTTTTTTTACGTAGAAAGTAATGGCAATTTAGTTTTCGATTTGCGAATTTTCGCCTTACGAACAGTTATCACCGAGCGAATTACTTTCACCCGATCGCCAGTCACAGTTCAGAAATTCTAAATTTTGTGAATGGAATTGGGGATGTCTAATACCACAAAGACAGGGAATGGACGAGTGTGAATTGGAAATAATTTGAGCAATTTGTCTCTCGGTTTGTTCAGACCACACGCTGTGTTTATGGGCCCTAATTATTAGTCCATAGAACTTGCGTCGTTGAAGCAGGTGACGTTAAATACACGAAGTGCTCACTACGTCCAGACGTGAGTACATTTCATCTGCGGACTAAGGACAAAGGACCTGCTCCATTCAATTGTCTCTGTTCCTGTAACAAACTGTAGCCTGATCTCTGGCCCTCCGTAAATATCCTGACCAACGATGAGCCTAAATGTGCGATGACCCAGGACGGAGAGAGAGGATCGTTACGATGTTGTTCACCGGGTGTTAAGCGTACGAGATCCCTGCCGAGGTCGATGGATTTTTAAGGGGTGATAAAAATCCGTAGCACAATTTCCTTCGGAAGAGAAGTAAAGCCGGACGTCGGATGTCGTAGATTTACGGCATGTAAAAGAACCTTTCGAGAATGATACGAGATGTTTCGTAAGCAAAGTTCAGCGGCCGTTTCTCACCCAAGTCTTAAGATTAGCTGCTAGATGGCTCTGGCAGTCAAATCAGGATTGAGTAGAAATTGTGCAGTCAGTGGACTGATCACAACAAAGAACATGATAAGGACGCCCCGCGTCCCGTTCCCCTCTAGGGACGGCGTCGGGTGTCGTGCCCGTCGATTCTTCACACCTCCATTCCGGGAGCAGGTATGATTGATTGTGATTCGTAGATCAATAAGTGGCGTACTTCAGTTCTGTTTTTGATTTGACGTATGAAAGTATAAAACAACCTAACCTCTCACGTCATGTTGACGCTTCAGTTTCGAAATTTAGACCAATTATTCAGCGCCACGTGAATTTTGGTTATTAAGAGAATGTAAAATTTAGGAGATGCTGCCCCTCGCCAAATGTTGCCACAGCCTACAGAAAGTTTATATTATTCTAAATCGATTGCTTAGCCTTTACGAGCGCTAGGTGGCGACAGGCTTGATCAGCTCGAAGAAAATTGAATTTGGACGTCAGGCGACGTTTTCGCGTGGGTCCAGTGGGTAGACATCCGCATGATCCCTTCTGAGCTGTCATGTCAACGGCGAGGAGCGGTTTTGTGTGTTCGCGCGACCAGCTGGATAATTGCCTTCCTGTCACCTGAAACAAAGAACCGAGCGGACGGGTCCTGCCGCAAGACCGGGCCTGTGCATGTCTAAGCCGTCTGTCGTCGAAGCTTTTGGATTGGAGTCATTTGGCTGAGGTTGGGGACAGGTGGTCTGATATGTTTACGGTAACAACCAATCGATACTTCGGATATTCTGCACGCCGCATATGGGCTTTTCCTTCCCCGCGGTCAAATATATAATTAATTAATAAATATTTATTTTTCTATGAGGCCAGTGTCGGTGCTGTGTAGTTAATATCATAGAATTTTCAGATTCTTTTTTCGACTCAGCTAAGATATAAAATTAGTTGCGGTTCTGACGAGTTTTGTACGACCATATTTCGGGCCTAGACTGATGTTGTAAATTGAACTATTTTTAATTTGAGAGAATCGCTTTTGTTCTCTTGCGTTGTACTCGTTCGTGGTTGGAAAGGCAAACGTCTTGCATCCCAAATATTTTACGTGGGAGTCGGGAGATTCATTAGACTTAATTTACGAACTTCCCAGACGCTATACAAACCTATAAATGGACGTTGCCTGTGTAATGAATGTCAACACACAAACTTGTTTCTGTAGCCAAATGAGCCCCGAAAGGTCAGCTTATGTGATGGTTCGCAGACTACGCAAACAAGGGTGATGATGATGATTCTCTTATTAAGGCCACGCCGGAGCGTGTGGACAGTACGTCGTACCGAAACGAGCGGAGTCCCCAGTTGCACCTGAGATTTTTTTTTAGTAGTTCGCTCTTGCGAGCGTAAATCTTTCCGGCTTGCAAATTTAAAGCTTGCACAAGATAAACTACCGCCTAAAATTAGGAATACATATAGGTCTATTTAAGTAAACGTAATAAACTGTTATCTTCCTCGATAATTAGACAGCTTAGTTTCATTTAATCCTTGCGTCAACCTTAAATTCCTCTCTCTCTCTCTCTCTCTCGTCTTCACTGCAACTTTTCCAAACACTTCTCAGTTTTCTGTCTTCGTTAATACTGAACTACGTAGAGGCTTCTGTTCTTTCTGTAAGTAAGACACCTTACTCTGTTTCAAATTGCGAAATGTAATATGGGGTTGCATGTTCGGTAAAGTGTTTCTTAACCCTGGCTTGGTGTCTTTTGTGTTTCGTGTTCTGTTGCCGAGAGATGGGTTGTGTTCCTTGCGGGTGGGGGGGGGGGGGGGGGGGGGGGGACCGGTATCCTGCTTTCGTCGGAAGAATTGGATAATTATAATTTACGTTCAATTCATTCGCCTCTCTTTGTATTTTACAAAGTATGAATGTGTGGTGTTTTTCGAAACTGTTCAGAAACTCCCCTTTCTGGGTTTTTCTTATTATTTCCTGAATATCCAGTGTCGACGGCAGTTTCTCGAGGAGATCTTTCGTTGGTCCTTGCAGTTTGTTGTCGTCAGTGGATGAGAAGAAATTATTAGTAAACCGAGAATGAATGCAAATCAGAAGAAACGTAACTCTGCTCAAGACTTTGTGCCGAGGGCCAGTTCTGTCGATGAGTGCTCATGGACAGAGTTCGCGTTTCTGCGTGTAGGCCCAAGGCCACTTTGAACACACGAATTTCCGAGTGCTTTGAAACTTTACATTTTGCCTGAAGGGAGTGCCGATTACCAAAACTTGATTTCAGTGTCCAGCTGAGTGTAATCTCATGAAACAGCAAACGCCGTGCTCCCGGGCTGTCAGATTAGGACAGCATCCAACCAAAGGAACACACCCCTGTCAGAGTTGCGATTAATAAGTTGCTAACAGCTGGTCCACTGAAGTTATAAGCCTGTGTTACTTTTGGTTATAGGTGTCTTCAGGAAAACGACACCACTACTGGAATGCTAGCAATATGGCAGCGGGCGCACTGACAGGGCTCAACAACTTACTGATCTTGGCGCGAAAGGTAAGTGTCCACGAGTTGCTGCAATTATTTGTTGCTTCAAGAGTACGAGTGTCGGAGTACTGGGGCCTTCTTTCAGATTTTTGTATACTTTCTCTCTCCTTCAGATGAATTCTCTTTCGATTGTTTACAGTTCACGCTGTCTCACGTCTGTCCTTTCACTGCATATTTCATCTTACCACCCACGATTATCTCCGATTTACGACCAACAAATTGGTGCATGTCATGATTTCTTGATCTCAAGAGTATTCGTAACGCCGTGTGTCCCAGTTTGCAGGAAACATCTTCAGGGTGTAACTGTAGCTCACTTTACTGCTTGCGAGTCGATTTTCTGTGCAGAGAGGATGCAGGTTGATGCTTCCGGGTGTGACGACACTGAAAACGCGTATCGCAGACTTCTGCTGGCACAGAAACGAAGCGATGCCAGCCGTGGGTAAGGTTTACGGACAGGTCAGTGTTTCCAGTTCCGTGTCATGACGATTACACTGAACTGTCAACAGCGTGGAAATTTCCAGGCCTTGACGCCTCATTCTTCTTGGCAACGCCCGGAGTAATAAAATGAAGGAAATGTAATTATAGTGGCACCACGAGCATAAAAATATTTCGCCCTTGTAACGACAGCCACGTGACTGACGTGAGGCAAGTTACCTCGTCTCGAATCAACTTGGAGAGTCGTTATTACGTCATCACATATGGACTCTGCCTCCGGCATTCGCGGGCCCGCGGTAAACGGAAACACGCTAGAGTGACCTCGAAGTACGTCAGAACCAAGTGTCGACTACTTTTAGCAATATTCGTTGACCTCAGAGTCTTGTAAGAGGAACCGGGTTTGGTATCAGTCAGTTGTTCTTGACGTATGTCGTTTTCCTGTTTCTCTCGCGAGATGGTGCAGAGGATGCGCCACTCGTCACTCTTGATTTCTGCATATAACATGAAATTGAGTGGTTAACATAATTTTTTTAAAAAAAGGCATTGCTAGTGCCTGGGGTCTTCTCGATCAACAGTCACACCTTTGCAATTCGCAGTTTTGCGCCTTGAACACTTGATTTTTTTTTCTGTGGAACTGCGATCTCAGAATTGTTACGCAATTTACGTCTTTCTGAGACACTAATAACTCAAAAAGAAGCCCCCCCCCCCCCCCCATCTTGTACAATCAAATAGAATTATTTGCTCCGTTCCCTCGTGGGATTTATCATTTCCTCCTTGCATTTTATGGTTTGCTATTGTAAAAAGTGCGTCGGAAGTCAACGGGGAATGATTTTATTCGTATTTTCATTGCTCATCTCGTTTCGTCCTTTCCTTGATCTCTCTTGTATTTTCTTCGAAATATAATGAATACGTTGATAGGCGCTTAACGGGTAGCAGCAATATCTATATAAGATACGACGTTTCGTCACCTACAGTGATTTCTGAGAACCTGTTCTCCTCTGTGGGCCACGCCGTTCATTACAGCAACCGAACGTGGACTCGTAGATAATGACGTCACATATTAGACACTGAATCGAACGAATGTTGAAGTGTCCTGACACAGTTACATCTTGAGAAAGGGAACTTACAGAAGATAATTGTTTGATAGCGATCAAGAAGGGTCTAAGTGATCTCCCGCGGTGTTACCGTGTGGGCCTTTGACAAGTGCTTACATTTCGTGTTATATTTATCGTCGAATTTCAGAGAAAGAGTTGCTATCCCCAAAACTAAGACCATTTATCTTTACATTATTATCTGCAAAAACCGCCACGGTGGTCCAGCGGTTAGAACGCTGTCCTTGTAATCCTGGGGTCTCCGGCGGGGCCCGAATTTATAACTTGTGGTGGGCAAGGCCGTGGTCTAGGCAGCCCGGAGTTTTCCTCCGTGGCATCCCAACAATTACTTCGTTCACACACAGAAGAAGGCAATGGCAAACCCCTTCTGGATCATCTGCCAAGAACGTATATGAACAGGTCCCAGTCCGAGAAAAGGATGGAAGGATCCTGTTCATATGGACCTGTCGTCAGACAGAACACTAAAATAAAAAAATAATATTATCTGCAGTAATTAGTTACAATGATATTCGTTTCTTCTGTACGCACTCAACAAACTTCTGCTCGTCCGAAGAACGAGCTGACAGTGGTAATCTTTTAATGATGACGTTTAACTTGAGAAATGTTAAGATAAATTATCGCAGACTGTAAGTGGTGTTCGTGCTTTGTAAACAACAGATGTTGTTATTCCTACCGGCGCCAGTGTAAGTAAGCGTTTTGAAGAAGGATCTTTTGAACAAGTGTGAAAGCATCGTCCTCTTAAATCAATGTCCACTTTGTTTAAGAAATGACCTTCACCTTTATCTCAGCGAATAGTAATTTAAGGGAGACTGGAAAACGCGGGCAGATGCTTTTACAATAGTTGTATTCCGAGAATAAATATGGCTTCTCCGTTTACATGTTCTGTTAGAACTCTGGCGTCCATTATTTTCATTCTTAAGTGCTTAACGCGAAGTCTTTCCCTCTCACGGAATTTTAGGGGCTAGTCGCGAAGATAAAATTTTTTAAGTCAGCAGTTGATTTGCCATCTTCAATTCATTTATCTTAAAGAAATAATCAACCACGGTGTACAATTACAGCAGAAATTAATAATAAACTGACTTTAATGCCTCTGGGGTGGATTACGTGTCTTACAAACTGTTGATGTGAAACTTCAACTGTGCTGCTCTGTGGTTTGGTTCTGCTGATTCTGAAATTATGAAAGAGTTCGGGTGTTATGTTACTGACGAGAACGATCAAGGAAGCAGGGAAAAACATTCTTTGAGAGAAGGAGGAATTTTGTTTTAGACTTCTGAAAAGTGAAAGGTGTTCAGAACTGTCTCTAACACGCTTAAATGCAGTAATTTCTTCTGTAATATGGCAGATCTACATCTTCCTTTGAAACTCTGGTAATTAACAGCAACAAAGATTCTTGTCGAGGCAGAAATCTCAAAAATTGTGGGTTCGTCGTCTTGCAAGCGATCCCTTACGGTCACGCGTACTCAGTCGCCGGTCAGTCCAGTGGGTGTCATGGCAACTGGTCGCTTGACTTCGTTCCCAAAGATGAAAATTCAGCTAAAGGGAAGAAGATTTGAGACGATAGAAGAGATTCAGGCAGAATCGCAGATGGTGCTTGACAGGCTGACAAAGAATGATTTCCAGGGATGCTTCCAGGCTTGGCAGCGGCGCTGGGATCGTTGTGTTCACTCCCAGGGGAACTACTTCGAGGGTGATGGATGAATTTAATACCTGAGATAAGTTTTTATAGGCGCAGTCTGGAAACTTTCCGATCGCACCTCGTAGCTCGATTACGGACAGATCAGTTTGCACCAAAACTGGCGTGCCTATTCATTGCTCAGTGTCTGAGGTTCGATTCTCGGTGAGGGCGATTCCTGTATCTCGAAGGAGAAGAACGACGCCACGACCGAGGGTGTTTGCGTCGAAGTTGGTGGGGGGGGGAGGGTTTACGGAAACAAACGCTAAATCGTCCGTGGCACCCAAACAAACGACAGTCGTTGTTGATAAAGACGATCTGTGTTGAATTTCCGTCACAAGAACGTAAAATATGGCTGTAGCAACATATTTATGTTGGCGAAAATCTGGACATCGTCGTCACGTGACAGCCTTCGCACGCGAGGGTGTTGAAACATGAATTGCTTGTTCGGGAACCCGCGTAGCTGCTATTGCCAGTGTTTGGGAAACGTCAGGTTATCTCCGACACGAAGTGTGACGGATGCAAATGTTTCTTGGGGACTTGAATGGTGACAACTACTGAATATATCGACTCCCGTTCTCACTGAACAAACATGAAACTGCATCGCTTCGAAAAACCTTTTACAAATTCTGCGAACAATAAAGTGCAGACATTTCAGAAGACATTTTCGACCGCTCTCACTCGTCGTCTTGATTCCGGCTTCAACAGCGCCGTAACACTCCCCTCAAAATTGGATTTCCATTTCGTTTTATTTTATTTCAATTTCATTTGTACTTTAAGGAAATAAAACGCGTTAAGGCCTGGTCCAACCCAGCATACAAATCGCGGGTCGCGGGCCGCATAAGGCCAGACCCAGTTTTAGATTTTTTTCAAGAAATGCGACCAAAAAGTACCCGTTTAAGTTTGAAATGCACGTGACACAGCTGCTTACTCGAACAGTCCGAGTGCCAACAAGCAGACGAACGTGGCGTTCTCGTTGCGTTCTTTGTGCACAGACGTCGTCTTAATCGGAGGAGTGCGGAGTCCATGGCGTAATTACGCCAAACGACGCGAGTTCACAGAACGGGCACTGCTAATAGTAGGTCTTGACTAATAGAGATTAAATAGGAGTAGAATTACCGTAAGCGATGAAATCAAGACGTACGCTTTCGCATAGGAATGTCCTTAGGCTGTTTAAGGCATTGAGAAATTTTGTACTTTGCGTCTAGCGTTAGATTTCTTATGCAGTTTGGATTCCTGATATTAGGAAAGTTTAATCCTAAATTAGATTACAAATTACAAACAAGGTGGTGCATTGCTTTTTCAGTATGTACCTCAATTTTCCTCTTCAGTGTACGATAAAAGATAAATATTTTGGGAGACGCTTGCTTACTCTGCAATAACGAATAGTCAACTTTACATTTTGTGAAGCCGCGTATTGTCAGCTGACTACCACGCACCTCGAACCTCTTCTGTCAACACGCCCTTGCGCCAGGGTTAACAAATTAAAAAAAGATGTATTCGGGATTAATAAAAATGAGTGTTTTAATTTTAGAGGGGGGGGGGTTGAGTCTGTGTGTCAGCCTGCAGCCATTCGTCTCCGTAGCGACATTGAATTCTAAGATGGTTCTCTACTGGGTTATTGCACCGTGTAGTTTGGGAGAAGTTTTCCGGCGTTTCAGAGGTGCTTGCTGCCTCCATCATCAGGACGACAATGCAAAGGACACAGCCGCTGCGAGAACCTGAAATATGAATTTGGGTTTGGGTTTGGTATTAGGATCTGAACTTAAAGTAAGTGAAAGGACTGAATT